ACATCTGGTCACAATACTCCCTTTACTAAGTAAGGAAGAATCTGAGACCAGAATAAAACTCACAGTTTCGATGTTCACATCAGCATTTCTACCACTCCGCCCCACATATGCCACGGGTAGAGAGACCCTCCTCTTCCCAGGAGCTAGGCGACCCTTCCTTCCTTCTTCCCTGGCCTCCTTCCTGTCGTTTGCATTTTCTTCAAGGAAAACCATGGGGTTCAGGCCACACAGATTTAAAAACTCCATTGCCTTCCCCCAAAGGAAGAATTCTCTGGAAAATCAAACCTAAGTAACACAGAGAGGCAAGGGAGAACATGTTATATGGCTACTGCCTATCCGCCTTAACTCTTCTGATTCCCTTTGGGTTCTGGACACACAAAATGCTGCTGCTGCTTCTCTTCCTCTTTTTCCTCTTCCTCCTCTTCCTTCCCACTTTGGAGAATAGTTTGGTGTAATCAGGTATAATCCTTAACTAGTGGAGCAGCTCTCTATTGGTGGTTTTATATCCACACGTCATCACAGAAGGAGCCAGACTGTGTACAAAATAGGTGCAGGTAAGACTCCTGGGTTTTATATTCTAGTTATTGCTATGTGACACTGAGTATGTCCCTCAATTTCTCTGAATTCCATTCTCTTTTGTAAAAGAGATAATACCAATCTCTTAAGGTTGCTTGGATATACTACAAAGTTATAGTAATCAAAACAGTATGGTACTGGCACAAGAACAGACCCATAGATCAATGGGACAGAATAGACAGCCCAAATGTAAACCCAAGCATATATGATCAATTAATATACAATAAAGGAGTTATGAATATACAGTGGGAAAAAGACAGCTTTTTCAATAACTGGTGTTGGGAAGACTGGACAGTTACATGCAAGAGAATGAAACTGGATAACTGTCTAATGCCAATCACAAAGGTAAATTCAAAATGCATTAGTGACCTAAATGTATGACATGATCCATGAAAGTCTTAGAAGAAAACAGCAAAATCTCTTGAGCCATAAGCATGAGCAATTTTTTTTTCTGAATGTACCTCCTGGGCAAGGGAAACAAAATTAGGAAATGAACAAAGTGGGATTATATCAAACTGAGAAGCTTCTTTACAGCAAAGGACAGAACAAAGAACAAAAAGGCAACCTACAGTATGGGAGATTATGTTTGTAAATGCTTTATACAACAAGAGGTTAATATCCAAAATATATAAAGAACTCCTATGACTCCACACCAAATAAATAAATAAATAAATAACCTGATTAAAAAATGGGCAGAGGACACAAACATTTTTCCAAAGAAGAAATACAGATGGCCAACAGGCACATGAAAAGATGCCCCATATTTCAACCATCAGGGAAATGCAAATCAAAACCATAATGAGATATCACCTCACAACAGTTAGAATGGCCACCATCCAAAAGACAAGAAATAACAAGTGTTACCAAGGATGTGGAGAAAAGAGAACCCTCTTACACTGTTGGTGGGAATGTCAATCGGTGCAGCCACTGTGGAAAGTAGTATGAAAGTTCTTCAAAAAACTAAAAATAGAAGTACTATATGACCCAGTAATTCTACTTCAAAGAATTTACCCAAAGAAAACAAAATCTGTGATATGAAAAGATATATGCACCCCATATTATTGCTGTATTATTTATAATAGCCAAAATATGGAAGCAAGCAAAGTGTCTATCAATAGATGAATGGCTACAGAAGGTGTGGTACATATATACAATGAAATATTATTCAGCCATAAAGAAGAAATAAATCCTGCCATTTGCAACAACTTGGAGGGACCTGGAGGGTATCAGGCTAAGTTAAATAAGCCAGGTGGAGAAAGACAAATACAGTATGATTTCACTTATTTGTGGAATCTAAAGACAAAACAACAAAATAACAGTAGACTCATAGATAATGAGAAGTGACTGATGGTTACCAATGGGGGAGGGTTTGGGTTAGGGGGTGGGGAGATTGAGGGTGATAAAGCAACACAAAAATTCTCAATCACAATATAAGTTGGTCATGGGAATGATAGTACAGCATGGAGAATAGCCAGTGATTCTGTAACATCTTCTGTGTTGACATATAGTAATTGCACTAGTTGAGGTAAGGATTTAACAATATGGGTAAGTGTTGAACCACTGTGTTTTATACTTGAAACCAACATAAGATTGTGTATCAACTATACTTCATCTAAAAAAAGAAGTTGTTTAGAGAACTAGGTAATGACCATACGGCAATACTTGAATATAGTAGATACTCTATCAGTTACAGTTATTAATAAAAATAGTAAGAAGAATTTGCCTAGAATTGGACAAAGTAGAAAGGATATGAGGTATAGGCCCACCTTGTATTCCTGAAGTATTTATATGCCTCCTTTAGACTCACAGTGACTTCTTTAAGAAAACACGTCTCGTTCTGACCTGAAATTTGTATTAAAAAATAGGTGGTTGTGTTAAAAAAAGGCAAAGACTTTCTCAGAGCTACATAGCTGGTGGTTTCAGTCCAGGTTCTCTGGCTGTTTGGCCCACTTCTCTAGGCCAGTGATTTCTCTAGGGACATGGAGAACACACAGTGTGAACACTCACATGAAGTGGGAAAAATCAAGACCGCTTCTTATAGTTCATGTTTTATTATAGAATAAGTATGAAAAAAATTTCAGCGTTCACTGTTCTTTACATCCAGAATTGCTGGTTAAGTATTGAAAACCTGTACCAGGAATGCATGGTGTTCCTCAGGTGTGCTGGAGTAGAAAACATGCTAAGACCCTCTTTTCAAGCCACTTTCAGAATTTCATCATTTTACAGTCATACCCCCACAAAGGATCAAAGAGAAATCTGAACCCATGTGTCCTAGATTGACAGAGACTGGCACAATAAATCTTGCAGGCCCAAATTGCCTGCGTCTCTGCCTCCCCTTGTCCGTGGTGCCACACCCGCCTTTGCTGGGTTGCTCTACCAACGCTGAAGGTCGGCTGATGAGCGGGACTCCTGTTGGTGTCAGCCATTCCCCCCTTTCTTGCAAAGGACTATTTAAAGCACAATTCCCAATCTCATACTTGGATACATGTCTAGATGCAAAAATAAAGAAAATTAGGGGTTCTAGGACTGGGTATGTTTCTATCATGCTCACCAAATTGCAAGGGTGCTCACAGCTCTTGTACAGGAATATCTTAACTCTATTTAATCACAGGAAAAGTTACCAGGCAGGATCAGGTTAGCTCCTTTTATACAGTGACAATGCAAGAAAGAAATTCACTTGGAATAACACATGAGATTATTCCATCAAGACACTTTTTGCTGAGCCCATACCTGAGAAGCAAATGACCTTGCCCCTCTAGTCCAAGTTATGGATTCGGTGGTGGAGATTCTTATGATTTCCTCTGCCTATCATTTTTGCCCCAGGTTCCCCTCCTTTCTTTAGAACCTGGGCATATACTTTGAAAGAGTCTGTTTCCGTGGTCCCTGCTGAGCGGGCCCATGACCTGCCTCCCGACCGCAGACAACTAGATCAGGAGCCCCTACTCAGACACAGATTATCAGATTTTCTCTCTTGGATATTGCAATTGGGCTTCTGAGATGCTGTTGAGAGTTTGCTGAGCATTTAAAGAAAGAAGTAAAGCCAGCAATGGCAACAGTGTGTTTCCTTTTGTGCCAAGAAGCAGAAAGACCTCACCAAGAGATAGAAATAAAGAGAGAGACAGAAATAGAAATGAGAGGGAGAATGCAGATGAATGACCACTTGCAGAGAGAAGCAGTGACAAAAAAAAATTATTTTAAGAGAGATCCTAAGAACAAAATCTTGGTTTATCTTTCAGTTATGGTTTCTGGTATTTTGTGGACATAAATGGCACTCTCTGCCCTTTTATTTCATTATGTGCCCTGCACCTTGGTGATAAATACAACTCTGTCCTTTTCCCCTTGTGTGTGTGTATGTGTGTGGTTTGAGTGGGTTTTTCTTGGAACCAAAGGATCTCAAGACAACTTTGTATCCCTAATTTCAGTAACACTTGCAAGATGGCACCTTTGTTTTAAGAACAGAGCTCATGTAACATCTATGTTGATGGACAGTCTCTACACTAGTTGGGGTGAGGATTTAATAATGTATATAACTGTTGAATCACTATGTTGAATACATGAAACCAATATAATATTGTGTATCAACTATACTTTAATTAAAAAAAAATAGAGCTCATGGTCCTGGGACCAGAACCATGAAGTGGGGGAGGCTCCTGTGCTCTAGTTCCCAGCACCACTCGCATTGAGGGACCCATCCCTGATGTTTCACATACTTTCGCTGATTTGATTCTTTGCATCAGGCTAAAATAGATTCTATAATTGATATCCTTCTCAGAGGAGTGTGACTTCCCATCTGGGGTGGATTTTCAAAAATTCTTACTGGGAGCCCAGAGGGTTGGAATGGCTCTAGTATTCCTCCTGACACCATTGGCCAGGGTCCCTTTTTTTCCTTCTCTGAAAGGGGTGAATTTGACCTTTTCATTGGTCACCAAGATTGCCACATTCAGCTACTTGTGATTGAGATACAAAGGACTTTGAGGAACACAGCCTACAGAGTTCTATTTGAGGAATGCCAAATGGTTCTCCAGACCCAGCTGGTACGGCTCTCTCACACGGTGCCTGAAATGTGCAGTTATTTTTGTTGAATTATGATATTATTGCTCATGACAAAGTCTAATATTAAACAACATTAACAATGCCCACAGGAAGGGCAGAGAACTCAAACCTGCCAATTATGTGGCTTTGGGAAAATTTTTAAAAAACCTGTGCTTCAGTTTCCTCATCTACAAGATGATAAGACTAACACTTACCTCAGAGGGTTGTTATGGGGTTACGTGGGTTAATATTTTCAAGCCCATAAATCAGCGCCTCGTACATAGTATGAGCCCCATTGAACACATGTACCTCCTGTTAAAATGGTGATAGAGGGTAAAGTCTGGGGCTTCCCCTTACACGGTAGGTCAACTCTTGGACTTAGAATGTCTGAGGTTTTGAGAGTGGGGAAGGCCAAGGAGTTGGGTGCTGAGGAATATGGAGCCCTACAGGATGGGATAACACTCCAACTGACTGGGAGTGAAGGCCTGCCTCTTGGAAGGGTTGCTTACCACATGTATGTGAGGCTGGGAAGAAAAGAGGAGACAAGAGAGGGGACTTAGGAGTGATAAAAATTTTACAATGAATAAAAGTATTTGTGAAAATCTGTCTCAAAGTCTCTAGGGGATTTGGGTCTGTGGGACGTTTCCACTTCTAGATAATATTCTCAAGGAATCATTGCTTAAACCATAGTCAGAGATTACAAGGATACTGGGGTTTGGGGTTTTCAGTCGTTTTATATAGGTATAATTCGCATACAGTAAAACTCACCCATTTTAGTGCACAGCTTTTAGAGTTTGACAAATGCATACAGTCATGTAACCACCACCACAATCAAGATATGGAATACTGTTGCCACCCACCAACCCCCCGCCCCAAATTTTCTCATGCCTATTTGTGCACAACTCCACTTCTCACCCACAGCCCTGGCAACCACTGAGAGAGAGAATGCAGACTAACGGCCACTTTTTGTCTCTCCTTTTCCCCTGCAGTTTTGTCTTCTGCAGAATGTCGGTAAAGCTTCTCTGACCTTTGGGCCCAGGACAGATGACAGCTCTTTCAGCTTCCCGATGCCTTTATCACAGTCACAGTTATACTGTATATGCAATTGGTTGATAAATTGTGCAGTGTCCATCTCTTCTGCTAGACTTTCCACAGGTGTTTCTAAGGGCAGAGATTGACTAGTTCGCTACTGTATCCTCAACAGTACTGCCAAGTAGAGGCTCAACAAATATTGTTCAGTAGATGAATGGGTGACCCTGTAACTTTAAGGAAAGTCTCTAAGTCACTAAGGACTCAGCACAAGCAGTTTGATATTCAGTGGTATCATCTCTCATATTGTAAATACCCAGAAACACTATTATTGAAACATTCCAGAAGAGTATGCAGGTACTTTCTGAGTTACATGGGGTCTGAATATTAGCAATCAGAACTATGTCTGGCCATCAGTATGTTTAACTAAAAATAAAATGGAGATATCTTTAGTCATGTAACACTGTCTATTGCTAATATTCTGTCTAACTATGTACTTAAATCTGTTCATTTCATAATTTTTACACTCCATATATTTTGTAGCAGATCTGATGTTACAGTGATGCTTAAGACCAAAATCATGAAATCCTCAAAATCGAGCTTATTTTCCACATGTTCGTCGAGTTCAGAAAGAAGGTCTTTGTATTTTGGTTTGGTTTCTTGTCCCTGTGAGAATAAGAATAAGTAAAAACTGAATTCATTGTGCCACCTTGGTTTTAGAGAGAACATGCGATTATAAACACGTTATTAACAATCACAATATGTCGAGTTGCTTCCAGGGCTACCAGTCAAGCACTGTGTTAAATCTTCTCATGGGTTATCTCACTGAAAGCTCACAGTGACCTTACTGAATAGGTACTATTATTATCTCCACTCTACAGATGCAGTATCAGACTCGGTAATAATTAAGTAACTTTCCCCAAGCATGACAGCCATTGGTGCAGAGCCAGGATTCATAGCCTTGACTACATGATTCCAGAGTCTGTACTGTACTCCTAACTGCTAAATTATCCCACCTCTCCGTAAACACAGATATTGTCCTATTTTCAGATTTTCAAGATACAATCTCAAAACATAATCTTTTTATGAGAGGTCTCCATTTTGTGTTTCACTGAACAATACGATTATCCAGAAATATGGAATAAAATAAGCTAATAGAAAAGGACATGCTTTGGAAGATTGTTCAGCATTTAGTTGGATCATAAATCAACTCCCACAAGTCCTCATAAGCAGACTGAAGGAAAACAAGAACAGTGGAGAGGCTTTTTAGTTTCCAACCACAGCTTGTGAAATATCTTCCCAAGTGGCATTAAAAATGTTAAGGTCATTTGATTCACTGCTATTCTAGCTGTGTTTGCATTTAGCTCAACCCCAAATGCTCACCCATGTGCTGTAAAAACCACCAGAGCAACGGCTAAGGCACGTTAGGAATGATGATACATTCCTCTTGAGGCTCAGATCATTCCTGTTCATCTAGGCCGGTTCTCCTCAAGAGGAGCTGTGTCCCTCGCCCTCCAAGGGAGCTGAGCGCTTGCTGGAAGGGTGGGACCCAAGACAGAGACAGGAACGCTGTTCTAGGGCAGTGGCACAGTCACTGCTCACAGGTCAGAGGTGGCTGCAGGTCTTCTCTCTTCTTTCTGACGACCGAGCTCCAGCCTCTGGCACGCTGACCTACCATCCTGCTTTTGTATCTTCTTAACAGAGCCTCGCGTGGTCAGTTTAACTACAGCTGACCGACTACAGAGTGTGAAGGTCCTCCAGATGATGTTTGCGCTGGTAACAAAGGGGGGCCTTCAGAACCCAGGCCTCAGTCAAAAGGTCCCGCTCAGTTAGCGGAGAACTCCCCTTAGGGACTGAGGGGGAGGCCATTAGTAATGAAGGGGCTGCTGCCTTTTGCCATGGACTCGCGCGGCCGCACCTGCCCGAGGGGATCTCACAGAGATGGGTGGTTGGTCCAAGGCAGCGTTCTGACGTTACTTGACATGTTTGCCCGGTGAAGTTAGCTATCGCCATTAATACTGAGAATGGCCCCGGGATGGCCTGACCCAGGAGCCCCCTGAAATTCCGCTTCTGGTTCCTGTCACCTTTCCTCTTGAGCAGGAAGCAAGATGGCACCGAGGCCTGGGCATGTCTGCCGCTAGAGATCCAGAACCAGGCTGCCTTTCGGGAGTTAACCCTACACCGGGGGACGTGCGGGTGAGGGTGCCATTCCTCATGATTCTGGTGTGGATCTTTTACCTCTGGTGTTCTCAGAGGGGATGATGGGTTACAGCAGTGCCCCTTATCTGCAGGTTCAGTTCCCGGCTGCCAACATTAGTCCCGAAGCACGTGATCTTCCCTCTGCCCAGTCTTCAGGTCAGTACCATAGCAGCCACATCACAATGCCTGCACCACTCACCTCACTTCGTCTCGTTCCGCAGGCATTTGCCGTCTCACATCATCCCAAGAAGGGTGAGTACAGCACAATGAGATATTTTGAGAAAAAGGGAGACCACATTCACCTAACTTTATTGTGTATATTCTTATAATTGGTCTATTTTATTATTACTTATTGTTAATCACTTACTATGCCTAATTTATAAATTAAACGTCATCATAGGTATGCATGTTTAGGAAAAACATAGGATACATAAGGTTTGGTACTGTCTGTGGTTGCAGGGATCCACCGGGGCTCTTGGAGATCATTTTCCTACTTGTTAAAATCTCCCTGGCAATTGCCAGGCCACCAGGCACACAGGTGCTTTTTCTTTCAGGCCTCTGCTGCAGACAAATGTTACAGGATTGATTCACCCACCCTTTCCTTAAAGACTCCCCAGAACTCTTTACTTCTTAACAAATGAAGCCAGATATTTCTGGCTAAAAATATAGGAGTTCTTGAAAAAAATTTTTTGAAAAATAATGAATGTTTAATATTGCACATGGAGAAAAAGATATTCTTTATAAGGTGAATGTAAAAATAACCCTTTATCTCAAAACCCAAGATAGTTAACTATTAACATTTTTCTCCAGTCACTTTTCTATGTATCACACTGTGGTCTCCTTCCCCCTTTGCCCCAATTTCCCTATGTCTCCCATACATACAAACACTTTTTAAAAACTTTATTGAGGAATAATTGACAAGTGTAACTATATGTGTTTAAAGTGTACAACATGCCTGATCATGATTACCAAGATCAAGATAATTAACACAAGATAATCTCCTCGCATAGTTAAGTTTTCCCTCCTGTGGTGAGAATGCGTAAGGTTCATTCTCAGCGAATGTCAGGTATACAGTGCTTTATTATTGACTGCGGTCACCATGCTGTACATTAGAACTTTAGAGCTTGTTCTTCTGATCATTGAAAATGTGTACCCTTGGGCCTAGCTCTCTGCACTGCCCCCTCTCCCCAGCCCCTAGCAACCACCATTCTATTCTGTTTCTATGAAATTGGCTTAAGAAAAGATCTCTTATTTGTGGAATAAAAAAGTCAATTTCATAGACACACTATTTTGAAATAATCGTAGATTTACAGGAAGCTGTACCCTTGACCCAGCTCCCCCAGTGGATGTTACCTACATAACTGTAGTATGCCAAAACTATATATATATATATATTTAATGGAATTATAATATTTAACTTTTTACTATCTCAGAACACACACAGAACCTCTGAGGCCCCTTCCTTTCTTTTACTCACTCTACTGACCAATAAATACTGATGGTTTAGCTTCTACTGACAACTACTATTCTTGGTGGGGGAGCCCCTCTTTTTAAACATTTCCCCAGCACAGTATTTCCCAGAATATGAACACATATTGCTGGTAGAATGTAATGCTATATAGGGGATGCAGGAACAAATATTAAATAAGAATTAATAGTTGTCTATTGTTTTTTTTTATTACCTTCCACTTTTATCCACTGAATTAACTTTTAGAATAGTGATAGAGTATCTTTATACAAAAATTTTGTTTAATAGAGAGTTAACGTGAAGAAAATGATTCTGAGCAAATTGTAATATAGACAAATATGGGAAAAGCATTGAGGATTGTGTTCAAATGACTGAAGTTTGAGAAATATGAGAAACAAGTAGGCAATTTAGCTCACTCCCTTCAGGTCAGTGACCACCTACATACTCTCGCTGCTGTGTTCTGAACACACATCTGTGTTCTAAGCTCCCAGCTCTCGTATCTTGTCGCTGCCTGTTTCTCCTTTCTAATGTTTCAGGGACACCTTAAATCAACGCATCCTAATGGCCCTCATCACTTCTTCCCCACCCCACCTCACCTCGAATCTGCTTAGTCTCCAGGTTTTCTCTTCTCTGGGGATGGGAACACCATCCTTTTCCTCCCACAGTCAGAACTGGGGTCTGGGGTTCACCGTCACACGAGGTCACAGACCCTGCTCATTCCTTCTCCCAAATGCCTCATATTCTCCACTTGTGTGCGAACCACCGTCTCCCTCTGCCTGGGTTGCTTCCCCAGTCACAGCCTCCTTCCTCTCCCTCGGCCCCCACCGCAGGGTAGACGCCTCTGAGGGCGCGGGCTCCCATCCACCTCCCCAGCCTCACCCGGCACTGCTTCCCGCTGGCCCCTCTTCTCCCTGGCTACCTCCCGGCCTCCCAGCCCAGGTCTCGGCCTGCCTCAGGAGCCGGGCATACACCATTCCCAGCGCTTGGAATACTGTTCTTACCTACCCTTCTCCCTTGCCTTGCAAACTCTTGCTCTTTCTTCAGTTATCAGCTATACCCTAATTTTCCAGGAGTGCTTCTTTGACCACCTGCCCCAAGAGGGTCTCTGTGTTACTCTTCTGCTGCGTGCCCTACGGTTTCATGGTGCTCTAGGTGTTTTTACTTTTTCAGCATCTCTCTCTCTGCTCTGCTGGCTTGCTAGCTTGCTCACTGCATTAACCCCAGGGCTCAGCTCACCTCCTGGCATATGGGAGGTGCTCAATCAACCCTTGAAGCATGATGCGACCCTTGAGCTGGAGTTCTTGACACTTTGGGCCAGATATTATGGGTTGGCCCCTGTGTCCTTGGGCTTGTTAATTCTCTTACCTCTGTGAAATTCCTAAATTGGGTTTGTAGCAGATTTTTGGCTGTAGCTTTTCCAAGTTTACCATCAGGGTCAGAGGAGTTTCTGAAAATCAGAGCCGCAGTAGCGATGGCTTTTTCCAGATCGGAGCCCTTCTTCAGAGCTGTAAGGGAAGAAATGTACAATGATGTAGTCTAGGTTAGAAATAACCCTTGCCCGCACAAGGGTTTTATCTTCCAAGGAGACAGTGGGGAACAGGGTTGGAAGGTGCAGGTCAGTGTAGCCCTGTCTTGGACTCCTTGCCCCCTAATCTGGGAGTGGGACATGGGGGTGTCTGATTCTGGATCTTTAAACAATGGAGAACAAAACTTCCTTCAGAAGCAATTAGAATTAGTAGAATAAGAATGAGATTTGCACCTACTTGCCACGTAACCTTGGGAAAACACCTCACTACTCTAAGCCCTGGTTTTCTGATCTGTAAAATATTTAAGGAGCACCTACTATGTGCTAGACTCCATCCCTGACGATGATACCTCACTGAATAAGACAAAGTCCTGCTCTTTGGAGTTTATATTCTGTGTCAGAGGCAGTGGATAAAGGAGAACAGTGCGGAACAGCTCTTTGATCCGTGGTGGATAAGGAAGCCCTGCCCCATGACCTAAAGCACAGTGATCTCCCAGCTGGTTTCTCTGGTTTAAACTGCTTGCAAGGTGGCACTAACTCATTCATTTCCAGAGGGCAGCACCTAGTGAGCATCATGAATGGCACAAGGTACAGAGAAGGAAATTCTTAAGTTCTCTGACTTCTTAGTCCTTAATGCACCTGTGTTATAGAACTCCTCAGACTTTACAGTTATTCCAAGTTTCAGCTGCTCTTTCCCCAGTTGGAATGCGAGATCCAATAGGCCAGGGGTCACATTTTCCTTTTGATCACTAGATTGCCCGTGGCTAGCACGAGTGCCTGCTACGGCAGGTGCTAGCACACGCTGCTGGATGAATGAAAGAGATCCAATTTTTCTCTACCCTTGTCTGCTTGTGTGTTATCACTGGTTCTTATTTAGCCATTTGGATAGGTGTGTAGTGACTAATAATGCCGCACATCTTTTCATGTGCTTATTTGCCATCTGCATATCTTCCTTGGTGAAATGTGTTTTCAGGTCTGTGCATGGATTTTGCCCATTTCTAACTGAATTTACTTATTTTTTTGAGGTTTGAGAGTTCTATATCTATTCAAAATAAAGTCCTTCAGAAGATACACAATTTGCAAATATTTTCTCCCAGTCTGTAGGTTGTCTTTTAATCCTCTCAAGGAGGTCTTTTGTGGAATAAAAGTGTTTGATTTTTATGAAATCTAATTTATCAGTTTTTCCTTTTATGAAAGATTTGTCCTATGTAAAATTAAAAGTTTTATAATTTTATGTTCTACATGTAAACTCATGACCTGTTTTGAGTTGATTTTTGTGTAAGGTGTGAGACTTAGGTTGAGATCCAGTTGCTCCAGCACCAGTTAAACACACTGCCCTTCCTTTACTGAGGTGCTTTTGCATCTCTTTGCTAAAAACCATTTGGGCAAATTTGTGTGAGTCAATTTCTGGGTCTCCTATTCTGTTCCACTGATATATCTATTCTTTTGTCCAAACCACACTGTTTTGGTTCCTGCGGCTTTATAGTAAGTCTTAACATTGCCCCCTATTTTCTTCCTTTCCAAACTTATTTTGGCTATTCTGGTGCCTTTCTGTTCCTGTATAGAGCTTAGAATGAGTGTGCCTGTTTTTGGAAACCTTGAATTGTGATAGAAATTGCATTAACTGAGAGAGAAATTTGGGGAAAACTGATGTCTTTATGTTGACTTCTGCAATCCATGAACACAGGATCTCTGTCCATCATTATACTGATTTATAGATGAAGACAGGATATGATCTTGCTGAAGACTCACTACTAGTAAGTGGCTGAGCTTGAATTTGAATCCATGTCAAAATCATAAGCCTCTAGATGGCTGGGATTTTTTTTTCCCTGGCCTGTCATGTTTTGTGGAATCCTCAGTGTTTAGAACAATGCCTGGAACATAGTAGATGCCTCGCAAATATCTGTTGAATCGATGTCTGCAAAAGCAGTGTCCTCAACATCCTGGTCCTTGATTTCCTCCCTGGATTCTGACCCACTGCCTCACCTGCACCATGGCCTGTCCCTTACATCTCCTGCTTCTGTCTGCTTGTTCAGTGGCTGACCATCCACCTAGCTCAGGACCCCAGACTCAAAATGTTCCCTGCCTCTTTGAATTCTGTTTTTAGCTCTTCCCACCATCATTAGCCACCTCCTCCCTTCAGCTCTGCCACATTCAGAAAACCTACATTAGAATTGGGATTCTCTTCAATTACCCAACATTTTCCTGCTCATCAAAATACAAGGAAATGGCCTATTTCTTTTAGTTTGTATCTGCCTTTTCTGGAGTGTGTTTGAGGTGGAAGGGCTCTGTATGGTGGTAACCTTCAATTTAAGTGACTAAAGAATAAACTCTGTTTATAAATAGTCCTGTCCCTAGGAAGCAAAAGGCTTAGAGGAAACACCTTAATTCTCAGTAGGTAAACATTTCCTTCCGTAATTTTGGCCAGTTGATTTATTACTTCATAACCAAGAATAATTAGGGAGACTTTAGGATGAGCTGCTCTACTGGGTCTGAGTCTTCTCTTGGGGGACAGTAGCCCCCCCTCTCCTGGCTGTACCCTTCTGGCAAGGAAAGGGGAATTTCTAAGCTGTCAGTGATCTTGCAAATAAAGACAACTTGCCTTGTTTACTATGTGCCAGGGGCCTTTGAAACATCATCTTATTTGATTTTTATTAAATGCATAGTTAGGTACTATTGTGTCTCAGTTTTACATATGGGAAACTGAAACATGGAGAGGCAAGAATTTTAAGGTCATGTTGCTCAGAAGTGGCAGAGGAAAGATTTTAAAGTCTCTCTGACTTCAAAGACCATGGACTTTGGAATATCTCCTTGTAAGGGCATCCCTGTGGAGGCTGTGGAATCCTGACATTCTCCAATCCTCCAAGGAAGTTCATGTCTGACTGCATTCTAGAAGGGGATGCCATCTGGATCAGCCCACTTCTTTTCTTTCTCCTCCATTCTTTTAAACGCAGCATGCATTTTACCCCTATTATAAAATAGCATATGCTCATGACAAAAGCAGAAGTAGACAAAGAGTAACAATAAAAGATACGAGGTGGCCTGGTTATCCCACCAAAACTGATGATACTTGGCGAGATGTTTTGGTTTCCTATTTTTACGGTTAGGTTCTTCCCTTAATAAACCCAGCATGTTGCCTCCTAATTCCTGCCCTGTCTGCCTCACAGAGTTGTGAGCAAATATGTGAAAGCATATTGTAAAGGACTAAGTGCTTTAAAAAATGCTATTTAAAAAAAAGACCTCTGTACA